CTGCTGCGTTGTAAAATCAGCTATGACATGCACAGCAATGTCATCTGTTTTCCTTGGCCAATTCCAGGACCATCACTCCTGTCCTCATCCAAGTGTGCCAGTCACATGTGCCCCACATCCTAGAAAGAAAGCCCCTGGTGGGTTTGTTTTTGCCATGGACAGTGGCCCGTGTTTGATTCAGCTTCCTTTAATAAGACCTTGTTCAGACCCAGAGATGGATTAGAAACTTCCACATCAATCTTCAGGGCCTGGTCTTATTATAAACCACCACAAATATAACCATGAAAGCCCTATTGATTGATGCAGGGCTCGGTAATCCATCTGTCCCCATCCATTATTCTGGGGATAATTTTTCATTATCTGGATGGCAGCTGATTCCTCGAGCATTAGTATACAGTGGCAATTACCAGAAGCAGAAAAAGCCCCCAAATTAGCAGGAACAAGAACACCTGTCAGGAAGGAGAAGTAAGAATTCCCACACAGCGTGCTTCCACGCTCCGGGACCAGGTCTGAATTGCAAAGAGTTTGAAGATGGGATGCAGTGTTGACCTTGGAAGTGGAGAGGGAAAAGTTTGCTTGTTTCTTGAGGGCATAGAGTGTGTTCTGCCTGTAGGTGACATCATTGTCAGTCCAGTCATAGCCCCTGGACAGCTGACGTGGAAGCCGTTCCAGGACTGCTCAGGGGCTGCAGGCTTTATGAGACAGGTGTTCCTGCCCGAGGTAACTAATAGCCACCAGAGACTTGACCAGAGGGAATGTTATTTAAGGTGAGAGTATTGAATGAAGAAGGAGAAAAGAAAAAAGTTGAGGCCTTCTGAGAATGGTGCCATTTGCATAGTGTGGGAAAAGTCCTTTCTAGAGACCAATAACATATGGTCTCTCTCCACGCAGTGATTCCATAATCTGAACATTCTTGTCTTTGGCAAGATGCTGTTTCTTTTTAACGTGGAAAAGTTGAGATGGACGTGGCTGAAATATTTCTAAGGGGCATCGAAGGAATTTCCAAAAATCAAAAATCCTGTGTAATTGACTTCTCAAGGGAAACTCCATGTAAAGTAATCTACTATCAAGTGGCTTCATATGGATAAACCCAGCAAGATAAGGCCACCGCTTCTGGCTGCTAAGACCCAGCCATAAATTAGAGTCTGTGGGTCTCTCTGAAACCAACTTGGCAGTGACCAGTGAAGAGCTTGGCACACAGCAAAGCTTTGATGGCGGAGCGGGAAGGTTCTAGTCCTTCAAACTAAAAGATTGCAGTTTGAGTCCAAGCATTAACCCATCATCCAAAATAGGGACATGCTTTTATTTAATCTACAAGCAGAGCCACCTTGAGCTACTCACCTACATCACGAATCTGTAAACCGTGGTCCGTGGGCCAGACATGGCCACTGCCTGTTTTTTACATAAAGTTTTATTGGAAAACCGCCCCATTTGTCCCTCTGCATATTGCTTGTGGCTGCTTTTTTTGCTACTATGGAAGAGTTGAGTAGTTGGGACTGAGGCCATACTGCCTGTTAAGCCTAAAATATTTGCTATCTGGTCCTTTAAGAAAAGGTTTGTCTACCTGGGGTCCACAGGGAGGAAGCTACTCCTGGCTCTTGGGGAGAATAAATGATGGGACAGATGCTGTAAACACCACACAGATTCTCTCATGTTCTTTTGCTTTCTTCTAAGTGAGCAGCCTTCCAAAGACAGGAAGCAGTGAAGAACCCTTGGGAATTTTTCCTATTTCAGCCTGCTTCCTACAATATTATTGAGACCACACGTCAGAAGGCCCAGTCCTTGTCCAACCATCATGAGGGTCTGTAGTTTACTCTCATAGCTGTAACTTCCTATGCAGGAGCCCAGGAACCCATCAAAACCCACGCTCCAGGTTTTGAAGCACAGGGCTATTTACGTTGCAAGAAAAGCCTGTGCAGGGCCGGTCAACTGTTGATCTGGAACTTCTTCAACAACATAATGTGGCCACAGGTGTGTGGAATTTGGATTTAGATGTCTGGCTTTCCTGGGGACTCTAGAGCAGAGAATTGCCTTTGTCCAGGCTCTGCTGGCTGACTAAGGAAAAGTCATTTTCCTTCTTTAGTCTCAGGCACCCAGTTGGTCAGACAGATAAAAAGAAATGCAGGGTGAAGATGGTTAAATCAATCCCAGGGGTGAAGGCTTGGCTGGTGCCTGCATTGAGGGGTCCTGTAGAAAGCATAGCTGTTGTATTGTTAGTATGTGTCTGCCCAGACCCTCTTAGCTGATGATTAGCCCACAGTGCACCCGTCGCATTTTAATGTGGGAAGTCTAGGAAGAAAATTTATACAGAAGGCAGGAGAAGGGGCTCCAGGGGAAGGCCAGCATCAGAAGTAGATCATCACTCTTCCTTCTGTTACCTCGGTTTCTGATTTTTCACCTCTCAGTTATAAGTTTAATATTATATCATGCAGCTAAGATTACCATTATCATCAGCATCACCATCATCACCATCACCACCATCATCACTATTACCACCACCATCTTCACCATCTCCATCACCATCATCGCCATCACCATCACTATCACTGTCATTACTACCATCACCATCTTCACCATCACCATCATCACCACCATCACCATCATCATCACCATCATCACCACCATTGCCATTATCATCATATCACCGTCACCACTATCATCAACAGCATCACCACCATCACCATTACCATCATTATCATCACCATCATCACCGTCACCATCACTATCCCTATCATCATTATCACCATCATCATCACCATCACCACCATCATCATCATTATCATTACTGTCCTCACCACCATCACCATTATTATCATCATCACCGTCACCATCACTATCACTATCATCATTATCACCATCACTATTATCGTTACCGTCCTCACCACCATCACCATTATTATAACCATCACTGTCACCATCAGCAGCCTCCTTCTCCTCACAAGAAGCACAGACATAGGATGAACACATACACTTTGTGACAGCATGACTTTCTCTTGACTGGGTCAGGGGGGAGTGTGTGGGTAGAGAGCAAGAGAAGACTCAACAGGCACCCCACCCTCCACAGCTGTCCATCCTTTTCAGTCCTTCCTCTGCACACGAGGTCTGAGTTTGGTCTCGGGAAACTTGGCAGGTAGATGGAGATTACTAGGGCTGGTAGTCACTCCATTGTGGGTGGGATTAGGGGTGGTCCCTATGACATAACTTACCTTTCAACTCATTAGCAGACCAACTTGGCAGTCCCAGAGAAGGGACTTGCCCAGAGGTCTACAGCAGATGGCACAGATTGGGCACAGGTTTATGAGAGGTCATTGGCCAGAACTGCAGTGAATGCAGCATGTTTGTACAGGGGCACCAGAGCAGCTGTTCCCTGTGGGTGAGCAGTGTTAGCACTGCAGGCACACAGTAGGTGCACAACAAACAGCTCCTGAATCAATGGATGGGGGAGATCTACCACACATGTGTTTGCGCCACTGTTTGCCTGGTGCTGCTATTCTGTGGGTCCTGGAGGGAATCCCTTGTGACAAACAGCAGTCACCCCCAGAGAGGGGGAAACAGGAAGACAAAGTTTGTTTTCTGGCTGTGCCAATATTTAATCATTTATGAACAATTTCCCCCATGAGGATCATATCCAGCAGAGAGCTAACATCTGTGTAAGAGACTGTCCTTGGGAGGCCGCCAGAAAAAATGTGACACTGAAACCTGCCGTGCTGAAACACGCACATGCAGTATTCTCACGCCAGCAGCCCAAGAGCTTGCTCACGTATGAGAGGCAGGCCTCTGCAAAGCGGACACCAAGATGGAACCCCAGGCGAGACAGGACAGTTGGTTGCATCTCAGGCAGAAGGACTTGGGGGAGACAAGTAGAAGTGGGTGCTGCCACCTGTGGGCTTGGCGGACTGCCTTGATCTTCCAGCTTCTCAGGTGCTGACGGGGACCTTCCGGGTAGACCTGGTTGTCTGGTAATGTCAGCCAGGGGATGTCCCCAGCATCTGTGGGATATGACAGACGTGTAGTCAGGAAAGAAGGTGGTGTGGGGCGGGGACCAGAGGCAGGAGCTGTTGCAGGCCTGCCCTCCTCTCTCCCCAGTCCCCTGTCTATGGTTAGAAGCAAATGCCGCAGACGGTTTTGGGACAGAGGGAGGGGATGGGAGAGAGTCCCTGCCTTCTGCCGTCGTGCGTGTGGGTGTCAGCAGGCAGCTGTTGGCGGGAGCTCTACCTGCCCCACTTCTGAAGTGGCTGGTCCTTCTGTCCCTGTCCTGCCGATTCCAGTGCCCCCACCTCCCCATTCAGGGATTGGAGCCAGGGCAACAAGGTAGACCATGCCTTCTCTTCTGGGGCTGTGGGAGGCTTCACCGCTGGCCTGAAACTTCGTTCCTGGAACCTCATGAAACACCAACTTCTTAGCGAGGATTCTGGAAGGAGGAAGATGCCTCCCTATGATCCGAGTGCCCTGGGTCTGGAAGGGCGTCACCCCACGTGCTCCTCTTCCTATCTCCCCAGTACATCCTGGCCTATCCTGGCGCCTCCTGGGTCAGGCCAAACCCTGCTCCCACTCACAGGCCAGCAGCCTTGGCGCTCGCAGTTCCAGAATAGAAGAGCAGAACTGGGGAAGGGTGAGAAGGGAGAAAGGGGCCATGGGGAATATCTCAGCCAGAGCTGATCTGCTGCCGGGTAGAGGAGGCAAGTAAAGGGCCTGGTCGGTGTGAGAAAGAACACAGCCGTCTATGATCCAGGTCACAGTTTGGAGGCTAACAGGGTGGTGGAAGCAGAGCCCAGAGCTGAGCTCCCTCTTCCTAGAACTCAGGTGAAAACAGCCTCGTGCCCACGGGCTGCAGTGGGGGAGGAGCGAACTGAGCATCTGTCACGCTGCCCCAAGTTCCCTGCCGTGGATGGAACCTGGCATCCACAGCGGGGTTGGGGGGACACGCCTCCACCCCTCCCAGCGCCCCTCTCCTGAACCTGGTTTCACGGGCTCCCTCTTCCCTCTTTCCTTCTTTCCAGGTCTGGCTGTCCATCAGATCATCACCATCACCGTCTCCCTCATCATGGTCATAGCTGCTCTCATCACAACTCTTGTCTTAAAAAATTGGTAAGGCTCCTAGGGCCCTTCTGGCCCAGAAATGGGGACTTTAGGGGACCCTGGGTGGTGAACACAGAAAGGCCCCCACTTTCAAAGCCAGCCTGCTCTGCTGGCTTCTGCCCCAGGCAGCTCACCTGCCACAGCCTGCCCACCCCTCTCCCGGTTTCCCTGCTGGAGACCAGTGAGCCCAGCCTTCGGACAGAGTTTCTTGGGGTATGCATGGTCCCGGGTTCCAGATTCTTTCTCGGGACCCAGGTGTTCCTGGGGATGCTGTCCTCCCAGAGCAGTCCCTGTGTCTTGTCTCCTCTACCTTCCCTGAAAAGGTGGGGGCGGGCCCTTCTGCCAGTGGGATCGCACGTCCCTCACTGGGGCTCGGCAGCTGGTTGCTAAACCAGCTCTGTTTGTTTTCTCCGTTCTCTCAAAGCCAGTCTGTGCTGAACTAGGTTACCGCCTTCCTCCAGGCAGCCTGCCTTTGCCTACTTCTCCTGGAAATTGGCCTACTTTGAGGCTGGCCTTGCTGGGTGGACACACCTGATAAGCCCCCGCGAAATCGGGGGACTGCTGGGAGACCCTGCTGCTCAGAAGCGCCTTGGGGACCTCACCTGCCTGCAGCCACTCCTCCAGCAACTGCGCCTCCTCCTGGCATCCAGGCTTAAAACTCTGTCATAGAGTAACAGACCCAAATGGTCCCCTTGCTGCCTGTACACAGTCATACATACGAATCAGACAGGCTGATGGTGGAACCCTCATCGGGGCCTCAGATTCACAGGGAAACATGGGAGAGTGAGAGAGGAAAGACCAGGTCTGGGATCAGAGGAGGTGGGACCGCTTGGCAGGCCACGGGAGGGTGGGGGATAGCGCAGCCCCCCAACAGACCTTTCACTCGGCTAGCGAGGCCTCAGAGCTACCTCCTGACAGGGAGCGAACTGGAACCCCGGGCATTTTCTGGAGGTGATGAGAACAACACATGTAGCTCACAGTGGGGCTTCTTAGGCAGGGGCTGGCCAGAGAAGGGGCCTCGGACCCCCATTCCGTGTGGATGGTGGAAGGACAAATCCCACTGGCCACCTCGACAATGTCTCCCCAGAGACAGGGGACTTTGTAGCCTGTTCGGTGACAGGTTGATGCCAAGCCTTCATCTTGCTTTCCCTACACTCGAGCTTAGAGCGGACCTTCAAAGAGCACTTTGGGAGAGCAGCCCGGGAGGGTGGATAGCAAGGCCTGTGAACCTGACCTCCCTCTGAGGAAGACTTCGGGGCTGGGGCTGCCTCAGGGTTTGGCATTCACCTTCTGACCTTGGTTTATGATAGAAGGGGTTTCTGCTCCGGGAATCGAGATTCCTCCCATTGGGAAACCACAGCAGGGAATGACCGAGACTTAGAAGGAGATGGAGCATCCCCGGCCCTGGCCCTCCAGCAGCCCCTTCTTCCACACAGGCCCTGAACGTGAAGGGGAAGGGGCGGGAAAGGGAAATGGCCCCAATGAGGGGAGACGTCCTCGGCTCCCCATGCAGCAGCGAAGAGTCCTCCCAGCCGCTCCTCTTGTCCTTCCTGTGTTCTCATCATAGAAGCGGCATCCGAGGGCCCCTGATTCTTGCTTTGTCAAATCTCTGGACTGGCTGGGGTGGGAGTCCCCTGGTCATTCTAAGCAGCTTCTGGAAGCCCCTGTGGTTCAGAGGTTCTAGACCATAGCGGGCAAGGCATGCAGGACACTTCCCTCTGCAGACTTGATCCAGGGCGACAAGCCACTTGTCATTTCCAGCTTGTGCATGTGCCCTTGCAGGGGGAGGGGGGCTGAGGACAGGGGCTTTCTCACTCATCAGCTTTCCCCAAAGACAGGTCCATAGTCCATTCTGAGATGAAGGAACGGACCACCCCAACCTGTACCCAAAGGCTTCCACATGCATCAGGCCCCTCTCGAAGAAAGGACCCATCAAGGTTCTTAGCCGTGGAGGAGTTCATGGGGAAACTGAGTCAGCACCATGATCTGGATGATGCTCCTTAGTCAAGCAGTCCCTAGCTCGGAGATCACACAGCTCACCACTTACCCCTCATCTTCCCCACTGCAATAGCCACGTTTAAAGCTTAAATTTCATTTTTTTTTTTTTTTAAAAGAGTTGATTGCTTGATTGTAGTTGATCTTTCTGAAGAGGCTAGGAATTACCTTTTAATATGGAATGATGCGTAGCTCAGGCCTGCAAGTGAAAGGCCCACAGTGGAAGCTCTGGAGCTGTGTTGCTGGGTCTTAGACCTCTGTCCGTCTCCCCACCACAACCTCTTTCTCTTCCAGCTGTGCCCAAAGCGGGAACACTCGTAGGAACAGCCACCAGCGGAAGACCAACCAGCAGGAAGAGAGCTGCCAGAACCTGACAGACTTCACCTCGGCCCGGGTGCCCAGCAGCCTGGACATATTCACAGCCTATAACGAGACCCTGCAGTGTTCACACGAGTGCGTCCGGGCGTCCGTGCCCGTCTACACTGACGAGACACTGCACTCGACGACGGGGGAGTACAAATCCACATTTAATGGAAACCGGTAAGCTTGGCTCTGCTAGACCTTGCAGCCACGAAGCTCTTGGCAGTCCCGACCTCAAGGGTTGGTGTGGCCCAGCGGGGAGCTGCTGGTTGGTTTAGGTCTTACCCAAGACCACTTTGGGGGGCCCGGCCAAGGCGGACAGCTGATTTGGCAAAAAGAGAGAGGCAGGGTTGATAGCAAAGGCATTTATCTGCTCTCAGAGCACACAGTGGCTGGAATTTCCTTCCAGACCCCTAGACTTGGCAGTGTCGGGAAATGGATATTCTCCTGGCCCTCGCTCTGAGCTGCCATCCTTCACCCCGGAGAGTGCAAAGGCCAGCCCCGTGGTTATCCGCCTCCTAAATATCAACAGATCACAACTGCCCCCACCAGAGCCAGCGTCTCCAAGCCCCGTCAATAAAATATTAGCAGCAGATTTCACAAAAATATCAGATACCCACCAGACTCTCAGGCCAGACATTCGTTACTAAAGCTCCTCCTGTTTTATTATTCATGTGTAATCCCTCCAAGAAAATGAACCCCACACCGATCCCTGGGAATATTTAAGAAGCCCTTGAGTCAGCTTCCGAAGGGTTGTCCAACATTAAATTGAAATATCAATAAGCTTTTTTTTAAGTGAGCATACAAATGTATGCATCATTTTGTAAATTAAATAAACAGTCTCCAAGAACTTGAAGAAGAAAGGAGGAGGCTGTGAGCCTGCCTTGAAGGGGCCACAATGGAATTAGCAGCCAGGGGACACTGCCCCAGGCCTCCTGAAAGGGCCCCCCTGGAACTCAGGGCCTGGCGACTGGACGTGAGTCGTTTTAGAAGGGGCTGGCTGCAGGCTCCCTTTCGTTCTGTTTGCTGATTTTTTCAGGGGCCCTGGTGAGTGAGGGCTGCTGGGGCCATAGTGTCCATAGTTAACATGTCTTTGTCCTGCTGACTGGAATGAGCAGATGTTCCTGAAACAACTTCTGGCTGCGCCTCTTCTTGGATGTCCATGTTGCATTCTGCAATCTGCCGAATTCTGTTGTAGACATTCCCGTCCCTTCCAAGGGAGGATGGTGGCACTCAGAACCTCAGAGCTGTTGTTCTAAACCTCAATGGTTTCACACTCAGACATTTGGGCAGCTCATGGGTGCCGTTCCAGACTTCCAGAAGGCTGAGTTCACAAATAACTGGCTAACAGATTTCCAAACCATTTCACTGAGTATATGGATGTTGGCTTGGGTATGAATCTGGGCCAGCCAGTGCTTGGGCCTTGTGTGGTGGGTAGAGGGCAGAGGGCTGTGGGTTGGCCTCTGTTGCTTCTCTTTTCCCACCTCTGTGCTTGTGTTGTGCGGGGAGGTGGGGTGGGGGTTGTCCAAGTGCAGGGTTGGCACAGCTGCTGCTCTCAGGCCCTGGCACGGCAGCATCAGATGAAGCGAGTTCTTGCCCTTTGGCCCAAGGTAATGCTCTTTGGGTTTCACTGGCCTTGGAAAATGGTAGCTTGGTCTCAAAGGTGACAAAATATGAGGGAGAGACATTTTGGGAGCCATATTCTGTCCTTTCTGTCATGTGCAATAAAGTGGGTCAAATCTGCCATCAGAGGCAGAGACCCCAGGCTCTGGGCTAATCCTGCATATTCAAAAACGACAGTCTGGAGATGGCACAGCCTTCCGGCCTGCACAGCAAAGTGCTCCTGTGCCCAGATCCCTCAGTCTGTGTCCTCCAAAGCCTCCCAGGGTAGAAAGCATTAGTGCGTGAGGACTTCTCCCCAGCCACAGGGAATGGGGGACGTCCCTTCCTGGAAAAGCTAGGGTCCACATCGAGCGCCTCCTCTCTCAGGAAGCCAGTCTGCACTGCAGGCCTACCCCGGCTTCCCTGTCCTGTGTTCTGTGCCAGCATGCAAAAGCCCATTTTTCCGTCTACCGCAGACCCTCCTCTTCTGATCGGCATCTTATTCCTGTGGCCTTCGTGTCTGAGAAATGGTTTGAAATCTCCTGCTGACTGGCCGAAGTCTTTTTTACCTCCTGGGGGCAGGGCAGACGCCATGTGACTGTTTCATGGTAGGTACTTCTCTTCAGACATCCTGTTTTCTTTCCCTTTCCTCCCCTCCCAACCTTCCCTGCACTTTGGGATAATCGAAAGTCCTCCTAGATGTGGTAGGTGGATTTCCAATGGCACCACTCCTCTGAACTCGAGCCAGGGAGCTGGGCTTTTGATCTTAACGTTGGGTTTGTTAGAAGTGCCCTCCTCGTCCTGGGGAGGAGAGGGACAGACACTCATGCACCCTGATGACACGTCCTGACTATTCTTATCGGTGCCACTCCTTCCGGCAGGAAGGCCACCACACATGTGGCCTACATGGCAGGGAAAGTCATCCCCTGAATCAAGTGACAATTACAGCTCTCATTTTCCGAAACAGGAAGAGTAGGGCAGCGGCCAGGGAGGCAGAAGTCGTGCCTTCTCCGTCACGTGTCTTTACATCGGGGAGGGCATGAGGCAGAATTAAAATACAATTTTGAAATATAAAAATAAGAGATAAGAAAGAAAATGATAAAGAAAGAAAGGGAAGAGTTGAGACATCTCCTAATTTGAAGCCGGGAACCGGCACCCGGACAGGATGAGTTTTCCATGCTCTGCTGGATGGGAACATTTGGTTTGCTTTCAGTGATATTAACTTTACCACTGACGTTAAATTGCCTCCTTCTGTGCAGAGTCTCTGAGCACTCGGGCTGCTGAGGGGAAGGAGCATTTCGCCCTCCTGACTGCACATCCCATGCGTTGTATAAGCACAGCCCAGCGGTGCAGCAGGAGGGTTTCCTATTGTTTTCATGGTTCTTTTCGATGCTGGGCTAAGTAAGCATCCTCACCGTGCCTCCTTCCAAAGGTGACCTCGGATCCCTTTCGTGAGCAGGGAGCCCTATTTCTAGGATGCACTACCAATATTTGAAAATATTTCTTTCTCACATTTTGTCCACCTTCTGCTATGGGGGACTGAAGGGACTGTGTCCTCAGGGCCCGGGGACAGGGAAGGTCTTGAGGACTCAGCGGGCTCCACCTAGCTTGGGGCGGGAAGCCGGCAGCAGTCAGAGAGGGGAGTGAATCGGTCAGTTCCTCATCCTGGCATTAATGAACCCCATGTTCGCTCCAAATCAAATCTCCAGCCCTCACTCCCTATCCCGAAGCCAACATGTTCTGCCAACTGGCAAAGAAACATAATTAGATTAGAACGGGAGCTGAGCCGCCCTGCAAGGGCCTTTGCTGCGGCAGGTAAGAGGCAGCTTGTCCCCACCATTCAATGTGGGATATGTGGCCTGGAGCCTCCGTCAGAAGCCAGTGCCCATGTCCACCTCACCGCCATTCCCCTGGTGAAGGGAGCCCCTTTTGGAGTGCCAGCCAAGCTAGCCACAGGGAGCTGGCTTGCTAACAGTGCAGTCCTCTAGCCCCCAGTTCTTTTGTAGAGACTGGGTTCTGGTGGTGGCCAGCATCTCCGTTATGATTTTTTAAATTCGTTGATGCATAATTTATTGACCTGGGAGATGCTGGGCCTTAAGATCAAAGACCCTCACTTCTTCCTGCCAAGAGCCACAGGCCCACAGAACTGGAGAAGTCAACTCCAGGGGAAGCTCCCTGGAGCACTTTTTATGTGCTCAGTGCTCCCAGCAATCCCTTTTCCAAGTGGGGAAACTGAGGCAGTGGAAGATTAAATGACTTAGCCAAGGCCAGTTCCCTAGGGGAAAGGGGACAGCTTCCTAATGTTCACACAGCAGCTTGTGGGGCACTTTTTGTTTGCTCAGTGCTCCCAGCAATCCCCTTTACAAGTGGGGAAACTGAGGCAGTGGGTGGTTAAATGACTTGGCTGAGGCCAGCTCCCTAGAAGAAAGGGGGCAGCTTCCTAATGTTTGCACAGCAGCTTGTGAAGCACGTTTTGCTTGTTTGGTCCTCCCAGCAATCCCTTTTCCAAGTGGGGAAACTGAGGCAGTGGGCAGTTAAATGACTTGGCTGAGGTCAGTCAGGTTGTAAGTGGTGGGGCTGGATCGCCCGATGGCTGCCTGGCTCCCAGACTTCCCCTGCCGATTCCAAAGTCCTGACTGAGCCCAGGGATCCGTTCTTTCCATTAGAACCGGAAGCTGCAGCAATGACTTTGCTAAAACAAGATGAAATAGGGCCAAAAAAAAAGTGTTTTTATTTACTCATCTTCCCCATAAAACCTTTGTGTCTCATCAGCCTGGTCCTCCCCTTCCAGCAGCACGGGGCACTAAAGGCCCCACAGAAACACTATTGGTGGGCCAGCCCTGAGCTGCAGCCCCAGCAAAGGCAAGAGATATGGGTTCCCCTAGGTGGGCCCCAGGTGGACCCCACTTACCAACTGTGCCCAAGGAGCTGTTGTTTCAGGACCACCTGCATTTATGCAAGGAACATCTCTGCATCTAAAGAGCTCACCCTCTCCCCGTGGCTCTCAGGTGTGTCGTCTGCAGAGTTCCAAAGAGCCTGTGAGACTTACTGCAAGCCAGCTGCGCTCAGCCTCCAAATCTGCGACACGAAGCCTCGGCTCACTCCTGGTGGCCTCCTTCTCAGTAGCCGCAGACCAGGAGGGCCACACACACAGCCTCAGTAGTCCTTGATAAACACTGAAAGATTCCGTCGCCGCTTGCAGGAAGACCGTTTATCACTTGCTAGCATGAAAGCGCTGGGATCCTAGGTATCTACTGAATCTCACAGTTAATGCCTGGATGTGAGCGTCGGGTGCAGAATGGCCAGAGAGATGTGTCAGAGTTGCTGGGGCACTTATTGTCCCTGAATAAATAGCAATTAATACTAAAACATTTAATTAAGGTTTAAGAGCCAGCGGAGCTGTTTCTTGTGCGTCACTGGGAAGCCTCTCCAAACGTGTCTTTAGTGAAGACAAGCCCGTTTCTTACCACACTGCTGTCTCCACCCTCCAATTCGTGAGCACATTTGAGGCCACGCAGCAGCCATGTTGGTTTTCCTGCAAGTGGTTGTCCGGGATGCCAGTGGCTCCGGGGCAGATGTGCACCCTAGATTCGGCCTTCATGAGAGATTCCAACACATTCTTGCCTCAGAACACCTTCATGGTGGGGCCAGATTGCCCCGCATAGAGACAGAATGAAGCCGGCCCTTATGCTCCAAGGAAGGGCCCTCGAAAGCAGGCCTGCACTGGCTCTCGCACTAACTCTCTGCCATCTTCCACACAGCAGGTATGTCGGCCTCTTTCCCTTTGCCAAGGCCGCTTCATTCTGAACGGAGCCTGCAAAGTCATAAAAGCTCTGGAATCTGAAGCCAGGGAGAAATAAATCGTGCATTATGGTTATTTGCAAAAACACATGGAAGACACCACTAATCAAAAAATACGAAGTGCACCTGCGCCTTCCCGCTTTGTTCTTCAAAAATATACGTTAATAGAATATCAAACTCTTGTTATTCAAAGGAGCCTATTTTTCAAAGTGGCATCCGGACCCTCTGGAAGCTGTGCTCTCTGAGCTGAGAACAGCACCATGAACACCTTGGGGGAAAGTAGCCAGTTCAGATTGCAGAGAAGTTCTGCCCTGCCTCAGGGGCACCTGCCAGCCTGTTTGCTCTTCTTGTCTTTCTGGTAAAAGCAGACATTGGTCGTTACACCCAGTGGGGCCAGGCCGGCCCAGAGTCTCCTTCCAGGCAGCAGAGGGCAGAATTTACCCCAGACCCTGATCTGGAAGATGGCTTTGCCAGACACACACAGTTTCCCTTTCGGGCCAGGGAACCCTGGTGGATGTCCACCTTCAGCCACGTTATTCTCCAACAATGGACTCCAGGGATCACCTTCTCCATCTTTCCGGGCTGGCCTGGAACCCTCAGTCCCTCTCTGGGCTTAGTGCCAAATGAGAGGCCCATGTACTTAGTGTGGCACAGAAAACCCAAGTAGCTGAAGTTTGAGCAGCAGGACTTTGGTGGAGCATGGGCAACCTCAGACCCTCCTCCTCGGCCAGGGCTGTGATGCCATCTTGGTCTTGCAGGAAGCCTCTCCGCCCTCTGCAAAGCCAGTGTGGCTCTGGAAATGGCCATTCGAGGTGCAGAATTGGCGCCATCTCTCTCTCTCTCTTTCTCTCTGTCTCTCCCCCCTCTCCCTTTTCTCTATTTTCCATCCTGAGACACAGAATAGAGAGATGCCTGTAGTCTTGGAGAGGCTCCTTCCCTGTGTGGCTGGGGATGCCTGGTGCTCAGGGCACAGGCTGCCACCCACAAATTGATTCTGCACATCGTGTCTCTGGCTCCCTGCATCAGCATCTATCTGCATCCCCGGAAGTTGTTTCCAGCCATTAAGGGTGAGTCTCAGGGACTGAAGACAAAGCTGCTTCACACCCCTGGGCCTCCTCCAGCATTGATTCCCTGCTCCGGGGCAGGCAGAGCTGGAACCTGCATGGACCCCTGGTGAACGGGCAGGAGACCCCATTCTCAGGGTGCTATCTTGCCAGCAGGGGGTGCTTCGCCCACCTGCCCAAATAAAGCTCGATGCAGATTGTCCCAGGCCTGAGATGTCACCGAGCCAGTGCTCCAGGACACAGAAGTAAAATAGAGGATGTTTGCAGGAAGGAATGGAGCATGCAGGAAGGAAAAGATAATCCAGAAAGGCCTCCCCAGGGAGGTGATCTCTCCAGCCAAAACCTGAAGGATTTGAGGCTTGAGATTTGCAACTTGAAATCAGGGAACCTGGAACATAGAGAGGAAGAAGAAGAAAAACAAGGTGGAGAGGCAGCCAGGACCCAGGGCAGAAGGAGCTCATGAGCCAGCGTAGGAAGCACGGGAGACCTTTTTTTTGAGACAGAGTCTCGCTGTGTCACCCAGGCTGGAGTGCAGTGGCTCCATATTGGCTCACTGTAACCTCCACCTCTGACTTCACATGGGAGACTTTCACGTGGGAAAGTGGCAGGATAATGTCTACCTGGGAACACCTCTAGTGCATGGCCGGACACACAAAAGGCGTGGAAGCTGCTCCTCCCACCTTTACTCTCCTGTTTAAGATCAGGATCAAGGATTGGAAAGCAGCCGGACCATGGTTCCTGCAGAAAACCATTCTAATTAAGGTGGCAGCCATGTCACTTACCGTCCAACCCCGAATACATTCAAGAGAGAAAGTTGTGGCCTTGTGAATAATCAGTGATCAGGGAATGCAGGGACAGCAGCTTACACCGGTGACCATCCTGGGTCACCAGGACCCAGTGCAGGGTCTCCAAGCCCAGCCTCTAGTGACCCCAATATTTTTATCTCCCTTTTGAGAAAAGTTTTAATGGTGGCAAATACACATACCATACAATTGACCATTTCACCATGTATGCACTAGTTCAGTGGCCTGAGTGCCTTCACCGTGCTGTGCAGGCGTCTTCACAAGCCAGCTCTTCACCTCTTCCCACCACCCCATATTAAATCTCCATACCCAGTGAACACTCACCCACCGTGTACCCCAGCCCTGGTCCCCCATTCTTCTCTGTGTCTGTGGATTCGGTGACTCTTGTACTTAGCATAAGTAGAATCATATGGCATTTGTCTCCACATTGTTTAACTTTCAATGGCAATAGCAAGATGGACCTATAAGAGGGATATTTCCCTCTGTGTTGTAATAATTAATTCATTTTTTAGGCCTCTCTTCCCCAAATCCTGGGAATGTGGAAGACGTGGGTGGGGGTGGGGCACAGCTGCAGTCAGGTTTCCAGGAGTGACCCGGCGCTGAACCAAAAGCATGTTCTCCTCTTTTTTTTGAGGCAGAGCCTTAATCTGTTGCCCAGGCTAGAGTGCAGTGGTGCCATCTCGGCTCACTGCAACCTCCGCCTCCTGGGTTCAAGCAATTCTCATGCCTCAGCCTCCAGAGTAGCTGGGACTACAGGCATGCGCCACCACGCCTGGCTAATTTTTGTATTTTTAGTAGAGACAGGGTTTCACCGTGTTGGCCAGGACGCCCTCTTCTTTACATGCAGTGACCCCTGTGTCCACAGCAGCTTGTCTTCCCACAGAGCCTAGCAGACACTCCACTTAGCTTCATGGAGTTTTCCACGCTGGTGTCATTTGAAGGCAGCAGGCAGGAAGGTGACACTCAGGGTCCAGCCTCTTGTGCCGACACAGAGGGGTCCAGGGAAAGAACCAGCCCCACACCCCCACCTTCAGATGAGTAGAATCTGGTGCACTGAGGCTCCTGGAGACAATCAGGGACACGGTGCGGCACAGGAGGAGCTGTCCCGCAGCCTGCCAGCCTCCCCGGCCACTCCCGGGATGTGTCCTGCAGACAGACAGCAGGCGTGTCCCACCTGGGGCCCCTCTTCCCCCGTCCCAACCAGAATCACAGCGACCGGCTCAGTTGATTCAGGAGGGAGAAAGCCACACCCTCGTCTTTGAGAAGAACCGGGGAATGGACCCAGGACTGGCAGTCACAGAACTCACCTGAGGAGCTCTGAAAATCCCTTGTTCACAGGCACTACCCTGAGAACCTGATTCCAGGTCTCCAGAGGTGGGCCTGGGAATCTGCCTTTCTGAAAGGCTCCAACGATGGAGCCAGTCTGGCAGCATGCCATGTCTGAAGCTGCTGGAAAAACTATAGAGCTGCCACTGAGTGCTTTTCCAACTTCATTTTGGGATCAGCACAAACACCTGCCCCCTCCTGCCGCTTTCTAATACATGTCATCTGCACAGATGAGGACGTGGTGGCATTTCCTTTCTATTATTAAGAGTCCTAGTTGCCTGTAGTTGAAAGGAACTCTGAGTGACAGTGGAGGGACCCAGACAGCACCCCATTCCCATGACAGGGACACAGCTTTGAGCAGAGGGTCCCTGGGTGGGGCCATGACATGTTCCAGCTCACCTGGCCATGCCCAGGATGACTCCCTGAGGGATGGTGACCTACTGGGGGTTCTCACTGAGCCGGGGACACTGCCTTTCCCATTTTCTGAGGCTTCGGCTGGGGATGGGTGGGCTATGCCCCTTCTCAGTCCACCTGCTGAAGGCAGCAATTGCAGTCAGCCCACCTGACCTGTTCACAGGTGGGACACGCCTTCTCTCTCTTCAGCAAGCTCACCTCCAGGGAGATGCAGGAAGTGGGTTTTCTGATTATAGTCCGTTCATCTCTCCTGAGTCCTGGCCACAGGGAGCCTGCAGCTGAGCAGTGATTGGAAACAGGTGCCCCATCTTCCTGCAGCACAGGAGTGGAGCTGGCCCCACGCCACCACCCACGGACAGGGAGGAAACGCTGGGCTGCCACACTCAGGCCCTGATGTGCACACCTGGGACCCGATGCCCCACCCCAGCGCCCTACCATGAGTTAGTGCAGGGAGTGGTCCCAGCCCCTGGTAGCAGGTTCAGAGCTCTGGTCATCTGGATCAGAATTCACACAAGCTTCAGGCCCCCACTTCATGCCGCAGGACTCCCAGGGTTTCTTCCAGTTCCTGCTGACCAGTTCTAGTGAGGCCTTGTACTCTCTTCCAAGGACTCTCCATGTCAGTGAACCCATGAGGGCGGCGATCGGGCTCTGCACACAGGGGTACTGTGTGTGGGGGCCCCGTGCGACCCTGGGCCGCTGCCATTTAATCTCCTCTTGTTTTCTCTCCACACAGGATTCCGTTGGTGAACCTGTAAAAACAAAACAAACAAAACAAAACAAAAAAAAGACAAAACCTAAAACTGAGCTTTCTAAGGCGGAGGGTCCCCGCACCTGCCACTTCTGTTTGCCGGTGGGAAACTCACAGAGCAGGACGCTCTAGGCCAAATCTATTTTTGTAAAAGTGCTCATGCCTATGGGTGACTGCCTTCTCCCAGAGTTTTCTTTGGAGAACAGAAAGAAGCAATGCAGGAAAGGAACCGGAGGCAGAGAGACGAGGACACCCAGCGAAAGGGCCGGAGGAAGCGTCTGAAACCTAGGATTCGTCCTACGATTCTGAACCTGTGCCAATAATACCATTATGTGCCATGTACTGACCCGAAAGCCTCGGCCGCAGAGCCGGGGCCTAGCGAATCACGCGGAGAAATCTTACAGAAAACAGGGGTGGGAATCTCTTCCGATAGAGTCGCTATTTCTGGTTAATATACATATATAAATATATAAATACAGACACACAACACACACTTTTTTTGTACTGTAGCAATTTTTGAAGATCTTAAATGTTCTTTTTAAAAAAAATTGTGTTATAGGTCACAAAATCTGATTTATTTAACATGCTTAGTATGAACAGAATAAACCAGTGTTTTTTACCTTGACAGCTCACGTCACACACGTTACACACACGTGCGCACATACACAGTACACACACGTGTGCACACACACAGTACACACACGTGCGCACACACACAGTACACACACATGCATATATTTGCATCTATTGGAAATGCAGTTCCACAGGTGAGCATATTCTTTCTGGTGACCTGGTGTTCCATCACCGTTCACCCAGGGAGGGGACAACGTTGACCCAGATGAGGAGGTGCTTAAATCACACCTCCTGCATTTGCTAGACATTCGGTGAGTGGCATCAAATGTGTGACTTACGATCTTGGGCTAGAATAAGGAATGCCATGGTTTTATATATGTATATATATATGTTTGTGTATATATATATATATATATATATATATATACACATATGCATAAATATGATTTTTTTTTTCATTTAAATGTTGGAAGATGCTACCTAACAGCCACGTGCACACTGACGTAGCTGGTTGCTTACAGACAGGCCTGAGGCTCGGGTTGGGTGGGTGGTGGATTCTTGGATGTGTGTGTCATACAAGCATAGACTGGATTAAAGACCTTTCCAGTTCCAAAAATTAAAGGAGTATATCCTTACAACGTGTGTGTGTGATGTCAGGGCAGAACTTAGATATACGTGAAGGGCCCCAGTTGGTGTGAAAATGAAAAATAGTCATTCTGTGTGCAGACCACGCAGGCTGCCCCACCTGGGCAGCGCCCCGGCCGGCGCTGCGTTGCCTTCCTTGGTGCAGGTGGGCAGATGTTGCTCGCTTTTTCTAGGGCCCATGGGTGACTTGGAATCTTGGGGGAAGCCATAGCAAAGAGGCTGTTCTCCCATCAGCTTCCAGTGGCCGACGGATGTTTCTCTTTTGTCATTGAGAGTCCTACTGTAGAGCTTCCCAGTGGAAACAGGCCAGACCTGAGCCTCAGTACAGAGAATCCCAACCACACACACTTTATAAAAAATACTGCCATGCCTCAGGGCCTCCCTCCCAAGCCTCGTCTGAAACGGGCTCACTGGTGTCCCAGACGTGGGGTCAACGGGGTGCTGTAGGGATGTAGGCAGGCATCTCATGGCCGCACTGTGCCTCCTTAGAGGACGTTTCCCGTCTGTGGAAGATGCCTAAAGTGGTGTGGATCCCTGTCTCCAAAGACTATTTCTCACACACAGCCCCCGTGCAACTTTGATTTCAGTGGTAGAGCGGAGCGCATGTGAAATGTCATAGGCCAGGTGAAAATGTGAAAGACCACGCAGACAGCTGACCTCTCTCTCCTCACTTGCCGGGCTGATGACCTTCTGATTCTTCCCTTGGGCTCAACTCAGTCTCCCTCTAAAACACCTTGAAATGTGCTTGAACTGTTCATTTTTATATCTCCTGAAACATGCGAGCCTAGAGGAATGCCTCTGAAGGGGAAAGCATTGTTTTTGTGAGGTCTGTATCCATGGTATTGCTCATGAATTAGGAAAAGTTGTTCTTTAGTTTCTGTTCTGTCATTTTCCCCCAAGCTTTGGCATGTACCGAGACAGTGCAAACATCGGCCACTGGCGTTTGGCCGTCTCCAGGCTCCTGGCATTCACCTGCATGGTGCTCCAGCCTGCAGCCCTCTCCGTGCGTGCATCATCCCACCTCGTCCACCCCATTCTCCTCCACCCACTCCCTCCTCCTGACTCCAGGTGAGTACAGAGGGTTTGAGTGCGCGGTGAGGGCTGTCCGCTTTGTCTGGCAGGCAGTGGGGGCTGCTGCTCTGGTCTTTGACATTCTGAGCTCAGGTGTGAGCCCAACTGAAGAGGAGGTGATGGCAGGGGGGCCCCGTTGGTTCACTGACCATGAGAACCCAGGATTCCCGAGGGACTCCTGGTATCTGCTCTGTCATCTCCCTGCAGCTCAGGCCTCTTCCCCGACCACGGGCTCCACCCTGGATGCCCTCAACTCTTTCCTGGGTCCATAAGACATGGGGCCTTGGAAGGAAATGTAAAGCAGCAACCCCCTTGTCCCGCATCAGGGCCGCGGAGTCAAGGCAGGGCTGTGAGACCCACACAGGCACAACCACCAGACAAGCAGATGCATGCACATTCCACACCCGAAAGTCTGCTTCTGCACCAACATGACATCCATCAAAATAAATCCATGCGGGCAAAGCCTGCTCTGCCCGGATGTATGTAAAGATGTGTTCTTTACTTTTTAAAATGGTTATCTGCTCTCCCAGACCCTTCAACTGGGATCATCATCTAGATAAGAGGAGGTAATGACTGAAAGTAAGTGGACCCAGGAAACACAGCACCAACCACAGTGAAGTCTGCGCCGGAGCACAGGGCTTCCCTGCTTCAGGCCACATGTGTATGTCATGCCCATGCACGTGGTGTGTGGGTGGCTGCTGAGTTGACCCCATCAGTCCTTCTGCAGCCTTGGGGTAGTGCTTCAAGCTGGTTGGTGTCCTCTTTTCTCTGCTTGACCCCTGGAATTCAAAGTCTAATAGCAGACACTTCCCTTCCCTCACCCAAGGCCTGGTCCTTACCTCTGCTCGAGCTTTCATCCCTCAAGGAAAGACCTCCAAGGAAGGGTGACCTGGTTTGTTAAAGTTCCCCAGTAAAATTTGTCCACTTCCATCTTACTACTCATGGAGTCTCAGAGATCCCACAATCGCAAACCCCTCTGGCAGCCTCCTAGTACCTGGCATTTGCCTTTGAAGCTTTAGAAACAGCTGGGAATCCGCTCCTTGTCATACGGTCAAGTCCATTTCTAGACAAAGTCGCTCTGAATCTTCATGCACTTGACATCACTTTTGTCTGATTGGAAGATGCGTGTAATTGCTCTGGCTTCCGAGTTTGGCGTGAGAAATGCAGGGTTCTCTGGGCAGGGTCGGGGCTTCCTCGCTGTTTCCCACTGGGCTCAGATTCCGGCCACCACCGAGACAAAGCCAAGCCTTCTCATGCAACGTAGAAGCGTAGTGACAGCCTGGGGAGTGTGGAGGGGGCTGTCAGTGTTCCTAGTTACTGCCCTCCCTATATACCGAAGGGAGAGGCCACCTGGGGACCTTCTCTTCTCTGTAATATTTCTAGTCCTTCCCAGTCTTGAGTTTGAGCGGACTTCTCATATCACATTCAGCTCCCACATATTCACTCCAGTCCTTCCTGGAGCGTCATGAAATTAGAAACCCAGACTCATCAGCAACCCCAGCCACTCTTTGAATCGGGACACTGGGAAACCCCTCATTACTGATGTGATCTTACCATCTTAAATCAGTCCTTTCTTTAAAAAATACGTGACACTTTCACAGCCATATTTTAGCATCAGGAAAGCCATGCTTACAGGGTTCTGTCTTAAGAATTGTGTGTGTGATGCTCAGCCTGTAGGCCATATTAGAAGGTGAATGCACTAAAAGACCGACCCTGCCACCTTGGATGGTCTCCATTTTGACCCTGTTGCCCATGGAGAGGTATCTTACCCTTCTGCTCTCTTGCCCAGGTGGTCCAGGATTGTCTGTAGCTCAGGAAGCTGGGCTGATCCCATATCTTGAAAGAGAAGACCAGGAACCAGGGGTGAGGTCGGGACTCTCACTCAGCCTTTTCACGGTCAGGCTGGGCCCTCACATACTTATTTCAAGATGGCACCAGAACACACGTTCTTTTGTTCATCTGTTGACACTGTCACCCTCTTTCATCAAGGTGGTCTCTTTTGTCAGGGCGTACGTGAAATTGGATGCTTCACTGGGCTGTCTTCTCCCCTACACCTGCCCCTGCCACAGAGCCACTTCTTAAGTCACAGTAGGAAAAGATGCCAAGACGTGCCATTCTTGTTTCAGTATGTGAGTTCTTTAAGACACGACTCACATACGCCATTGGAGAGAAACAGCCTGTTCTGGATCACCGTAATGCACGGATCAGTCAGTCATCCTCTAATTCAACAAAATTATTTGTGCAACTTCTACCACACTGGCAATACAGTCAGAGGCAAGGTGGGCACAGTTATGCCCTTGTGGGTTTCACGTTCTACAGTGGGAGGAAGCAGATGGTTAATGTGAAAGCAAACAAAAATAATTCCCAGAGAGAAAAAGCAGTAGGGAGAAAAACAGCAAAGCGACGGGGTCGGGGCAGAGAAGGAGGGAGGGGAATGGGGAGAGAGTGGGGGGACTGAGGGGGAAGAAAGAGAGGAAGGGTTGTCTGCATCTCCTCCTCCTGCCACACATCACCTACTGGGGAATTACCACTTGCTGCCTGAGGATGGTCTGGTGTGGGATGGAGCAAGAAGGCCTTAGTCTTAGCTCTTGGATGAACACGCAGTGCAGTGCTGAGGATAAGACATTGCAGTTGTTACAATGCCTGGTTCTCCACCAAATTCCTCAGCCATTCCAGCAACAGTGGAAGCAGAGGGGCAGGGGCAGGATGAGGGCTGCTGCCCTGGTGATGAGCTTGTCCATTCCTGGGCACTGGCTGGCTCTGCACCAGCCCCTCCCCTTACTGGTCTCATCTGTCGGCTCACCAAGCCAACCAGGTCTTAAGTCAGCCAAATCTCAAGGAGGATAAGGGGATTCGAGGACCGAGACTTGGCCCTCAGGGCACGGGCACCTTGGGGGTGCCATTCCTCTTGATGCCAGAAGGCAGCTGCCTCTCCAGAAGCTCCCCCAGCACTGAGCATCTGCTTTTAAGTAAGCAGCGATTCCTACACACGCCGTGATTCATGTAATTTTTGAGTGGTTACTTTGGTGCAGTTTGTCAATTTGCTCTGCCATACTGTTTTTTGATTGTTTGTTTGTTTTCCAGTGTAAATAGCACAGCCCACATAAATGAGCCAAACTCATCATCTGAGGATCTTTGATTATTCTTCCCCACTTATTTCACATCGACGTGCTGCCTGCTAGGAAGATAAACTCCCTCTTCTTTGCTCACTCTGAGCTGAGTTCTCTGTGTTAGTTATACTCAGCCTTATCTAAGGGTTCCAGAAAGGTCTTAAATGATTGTTTGGGGTTTCAAAACATGCCACCAACCCTTCCTTCCAAAAAGCATGAAGCATAGAGCTGCGTTTTTGTGTTCCTGGGTTTAGAGCTTGTATTTGGATGTAAGGTGTGACTAAAACAGGTCTAGGCAGAGAACCTCTGTCTTTTAAATCACCCAGCCATCAGTCAAACAGAAAGAATGAGCTTCTTCTGACTCAAATCATTCTAGAAAGGTCTCAGCTAGTGAGCACGATAGCCAGTCTCCAGAGTTCATGTTGGTTGCCATGTGGCCAAGCCATCCCTAGCTAGGAAACTTAACTCTTTGCACTACCTCCCTTTATACTGAAGGACCCGCAGGACCGTGGGAACACTTGCGCTTTGTCTGAGGAGTGGCCCCACCCACCTTCCCCCAGAACTTCCAGCCTCGTGCAGAAGCCCTCAAACGTCCCATCTTCCATCTTCACTTTGGTCGTAGGGGGTTAAATACATAGGCCACAGCTGACTGTGGCCCCCAGAATATCCAGGAGCAAGACAGGTAATGTTAGTCTTGGGGTCCCTAAGGCAGTAGAGTGTGAGGAGGGCGGTTCTCTCCATCGATTCCCAAACACACCAGCCATGAGTCCCCACCCCACACCTGTAAACGCATAGCCGATGCCCCGTTGTAAAGGTGACTGAAGAGAATGGTCAACTCCGTGGTGACGGGCCTGTCTTGGAGCTAAAAGCATGAAATGAGTCCTCCCTGTAGCTCCATAGCCTTTTCTTCTTAATGGATTCCCTGCTAAATGTTCTAAGAGTTACTATACATAGAATCAAGAGAGCCATTTTGAATGAGCCATAAATCTAAGTCAAATGTAAGGGGCATAACATAAATTGGGCCAAGCTTCCCCATCCGGGACACACATGTTTATAGAGTTTAAACACTAGTCACGAGTGGGGGAAGGGAACAGTGACTGTCTGTATTAATGGCCATATAAATGATCTACATGTCTTCTCATGTAGGCTGGAACCAGAACCTACGTATGCCATAGAAAACAGTCGATTAAATGGGTTAATGTGCTAAGCCAAGAGAGTTCTTAAGACATGTGCATGGGACTGGATTAATTCTTGTCGATATCTTGGATTCCACAGTAAAACATCTGTTGAGTTATGTTTGGCAGGAGAGGATGCAGGGAGCACTGGACTGTAGGAAACTCCTTTATACAGGATAATTAGTGTTGTCTCTGGTGGCTCTCTCTTCAAACGGAATCCCCCGGAGACCCAGGTTTTCAGGTTGTAATTCCACACCCAAATATTTGCGACATGAAACAACAGCTCCCCAGAGACTTCAGTCTTGCATGGGTACAAGCAGCTCACACTGGTTAGCTTTGGTCAGAGTTCATCATTTCTGCAACAGAATTTCTTAGTGTTGATGTTGATAGCTTCTGGGTTGGCAAACTGGCAGTTCACTCTAGTCTTGCTGAACTTGGCAAGTTCTTGTACCCAGAAAATTAGGGATAGGTTTGGCCATGGGAGGAGCAAGAACACTATGCAGTCCTAAGCGCTATTTTTTTCTTTTTGGCATCATTGAGTACCGTGAAGACTCACAGCCACTACTAATGCAGCATAGGAGACACTTTGAGGACCCCCAGCATAATCGTTTGAAATCATCATACAGGGAACTGCAGGGACAAACCCCACTGAACAAATCCAGGGGCCAGTGTTTCATTTCCTGATAGAATGATCCCATTCCTCTTCACTCTTCAGTTGTCCCAAGCCAAAAGGGAAAATTTGAAACCCACTGTGACACCCCAACCCTAATTTCCAGCCTTTGGAGGGCTCACCTGGGGCATGAGGGAGAAAGGGCTTTGTTGAAGTCTCAGGCTGCTGAGAACTATGTATAGGAGCAAGCCCCGGCATGGCTCTTGACAAGGTCTTCGGGGGAACAGCAGCTGCTGCTCCCAGAGGAACCCTCTCCTTTTGCCTCCACAGTCTATTCTGGGGTGGAAACGCCATTCTCTATTGTTTCTCTCGCATACTTGTGGATTTCTAATACCAAGTTCTGTGACTGCCTAGACCACTTACGGTCTATGAAGCAATATGGGAGTCTCTTTCCTGAGTGTGCAGCACGTCAACATGAACTTGACCCTGGAAGCTGTGGGGAGCAGGATTCTCTAAGGTGCTCTTAGATATGGTGTCACTTCCACATACAAGCACAATTCTCCCAGTTAAGGGACTGGAAGACAGCGGGGGCAACTGGTTTTGAAAAGTCCGTGGGTGTGCCAGACAGGGTGTCTGGTCACATCCTCCTTTAATTTAACTGCCACAATCTGTCTGCAGACGTTTTTCATTCCATTTCTTGTCTTTTGCTTGTGGTTGCGTTGCTCCCTCTGAAGCCAGAGGGTGAAAGGCCCTGGCAAAGTTAGTTATCAGTCAACTGATGATAACTGTGGTCCTTAAAGGTGAATTCCTAGCCTTAGGTGACACACAGAGGCTCTGCGAATGTCTCAGGATCTGTCATATGTCATGTTGTTGGTGTGAAGATGGAAGAACAAAGTCCATGTCAGTTTCTGCTTCTTCAAACAGCGTGTTGATAGGAAACATTGGGAGCTGGCAGAAACATGTGCCTAGTTTGCAGCACCAAATAATGGTCTTCTCAGAGGTTTTTTTCTTTCATTTTTAAAAAAATTTCCCCTTCTGGCAGCCCCATTTGGATCATTCCCTCTCTTTCTTTCCTGGAAAAACAAGATGGCAGGTGCTGGAGCCCAAAGCAGGGCCACCCTCCAGCTAAAATGATTTAAACGGTAAGGAGAATGACAGCAAAGCCCCACGTGAACTTTAATGGCCTTATCGATGACCTTTACTGACTTACCATTGGTACCTGGATTGATCAGAGACGAGTGGGACTAAAAGCCAGGGTCAGGTTGCTGCACGCATTTGCAGAGCAGGAGTTCTGGGAATGTGCGTTAGACCCAATTGCACTGGGCGTTGAAGGAAGCGTGAGGCCATGCATTGATAAAACTTTTAGAGTCTTTTACATTATTTTTTCAAAAGAGCCACATTTACTGCAAACCATTTACAAAATGCCAATAACCAAACAGAAGGGAAATGTCTGAAACCTTCCAACTGTTTAATTCTGTGGAAATTGACCAAAGACCGAATGCATGGGGACAAGTCACAGAGATCTCACCATGCTTAGCACCAGGGACAAGTCTGGCTCCAATGTGTGTTCCATGAAGTCTGATTAGCTTTCAACTGCATCTTTGCCAGCTGAACTTGTCATGCATGAACTTCCCATTGATCTTTAGAGTGTCCGTGTTCAGTGGGAAAGGCGGTCAACCATTTGGATGTTTCACTTCTCTCAACAACAAGCCTTGGCCATTGGGCACATCTGGGCCTTGATGTGGAATACACAGGATACTCAGAGAAACATCCAAATTATTGACTGGGGTTTTCCCACGGGGCATCTATCTAAGAGTGACAGATCTGAGAAACAGACGGACCCAGGTACAAGTTGATGCTCCTAGTGTGTTCAAATAACTCTTGAATTCACTCATTGCGTTTATTGGGTCTCATTGCGTTTATTTAAAGATGGAGCCCATTGTCCCCTCCTCCTCCTCCTTCTCAGCTCGCCTATGGAACTAGAAATTCATGAACCGGAAGCTGGACCACAAGACAAGAAATTGAACAGCAACGGCCACACGGCCTGTTTCTTCACAGGCTTTAGAACCTTGTCCCTGCAGCCCCTCACTCATGTAAACCAAAACTGGGTTTATTTCCATTTTCCTAAATTATTTTCTGATACAATAAACTGTTAACTGTTTATTTATACTTTTACAAGGAGCACTTGTTATTTTTCAAAAGGAAAGCAAAAGCCTCTCCGTTTCCATGTTCTCCGTGTATCTCCACCACACCGTCTGTATAGACACGTGTATGTATCATCTTCCTGAGAGGGCTGACCTCCTGTAGCTTAATGTTGTGGTTCTTTTCTTTAGATGCATATCATAATCATGTTAATAAACAAAAAAATGACACAATATATGTGGGTGGGGGGTGGGGCAGGTGGCTGGGTGTGATTTCCGTACAGGTGAACTTTTATTCCAGATTTTTTTAAGTTGTTTCTGTATTTCAAAGCTATGTATCTGGGAAACGTTGTGAATGAAACACCTATATTAACTTTCTGTGTATATTTACTACTCTGATGTTGCTATTAAAAAAACATAATATAAAAAAAAAGAAGAGAAAAAACAATGACCATGAGTGCAGGCCATGACCTCATAAGGACTTATTTTTATGTTATTTATTTTTTCAACAGTATTACCTGAGACCCCCTCTTAGAACATGGGCATTGTTTCCATGCCTGTGGTTCAGAGTCCAAGATTTCCTCCCTGAATCTTCATGACTTCCACACCAGTGCTTTGCCCAGTTAAACAACTCCAAAAACACTTTGGGGTCTCAGTGTCTGGGCCCTGGGGTTGGTTTTAACAGAGTCTGAGTTAACCAGGCAAGGTCTACCACATTGGATCTGAGACCACTCAGGCCCAGAAGCTCAGGGCTGGGGGGTTCCAGCAAATGTCTTGCAAAGATTTCCTGCAGAGGAAGCAGTGCCCTGGGGCAAAGGTGGGCCCAAGGTTTGCAATTGTGTGCTGGTGCCAAGGCAGGACATTCCAAAGGGCCTCCAGGATTGGAGCCAGGAGACTCCTCACACACTCACAATATTTGCAGAGTGCAAAAGAGAGCTCTGTCCACTTCAGACAGGCTGAGATCAGGCAGAGGAAGCGGGAGCAAGGCTCCTGCTTCTAGGCCAGCAGTTGTTCATGTGGGGTGATCCTCACTGCCCCCCAGCATTCGGCGATGCCTGGAGACATTTCTGGTTGTCACAGTGGGGACAGGGATGCTACTGGCATCAGTGTGAAGAGGCTATCATGCTGCTAAGCACCCCACACAGCACACAACAGCACCCAAACACAGCCATGCAGCCCCAGAGGCTGAGGTTGAGAAACTCTCCCCTTAGACGGGGTGGGATGTTGCACTTGGCTTTGCCCCTCGTGGAAGTAGGATGTCTTTTGCCCTGATGTGGATGTAAAGGTGGAGCCTTCACACCAGCTGTCTCTGAGCCAGCTGGAGCTAAACCTCAGGATATGAGAGCAAGGCTGCAGGGTAGCCTTGTGTTCTAGTGAACCCTGCTCTTGGCCCCAGGTCTACTCTACACCTGCTAAGCACCTTTTAGCCTGTCAATGTCTTGTCACATATTTGAAATTACCTGAACATATCACCAAGGTCATATGCATAATCCATGTGTGACTTTGCCTCATTTGCCAAAAAGGGCAGACCAAGCAACACAGGGTCATGGCTGGTTAAGGGTCCCTAGGCCAGGAAGGGGGTCCCAGGGGACCCAGACCTCACCTAACCCACCTTGGCTGCAGCCACAGCCTCACACACCTCCAGAGACATCCCCAGCACATGCTTAACTCCTCTCTCTCTTTTCTTTTTCTTTCTTTCTTCTTTCTTCATTCTTTCTTTTTCTTCTTTCTTCTTTCTTTCTCTTTCTTCTTTCTCTTTCTTTTCTCTCTCTTTCTCTTTCTGTCTCTCTCTCTCCTCTTTATTCTCTTTTCTTTTCCTTTCTTTTCTTTTCTTTTGAGACAAGGTCCTGCTGTACCACCCAGGCTGGAGTGCAGTGGCACAATCATAGCTCACCACAGCCTCAAACTCCTCAAGGGCTCAAGCAATCCTCCTTCCTCAGCCTCCTGAATAGCTGGAAATACAGGTGTAGGCACCACACCCATCTAATTTTTAAACTTTTTTATAGGAACAAGTTCTCATTCTGTTGCCCGGGCTAGTCTTGAATGCCAGACCTGAAGCAATCCTCCTCCCTCAGCCTCTCAAAGCACTGGGTTTCAGGCATGAGCCACCACATCTGGTCTGGCCCCTCTTCTTTTTTAAAGCCATTGTCAACGGCAAGGACTAGTCGCAGAAAGATGAGGGGGAGAGGTGAGTCAAAGCCACTGTCATGGTTTTGGTCAACACCAAGAGCTGATCTGCAGGTAGGAGACCAGGCACCCCGAAGGCTGGCAGAGCTGGAGATGCGCAGCCTCGGCCGCCTCCGAGACACAGAAGTGCCGAGGCCTGAACCCAGAGTGAAGCGCCTTCCTTACAAGCCTGGAAAAAGCAGCATTTCCCCTTAATTAGCTCCAGAGAGCAGGCGACGCTCCTCCCCAGCCCCCATCCTTCACCTGCCACAGAATTGATGGACAGTGTACCCAGTGCCTCATCCAGCACCAGGCGCAGGGCACTGGTGACAAGAGCACTTCGTTCCAACCTCCTGGGCATCCTGCGGTGCCTTTGTCATCCTCCGGATCCCCATCCTGGGAGCTTCTGCTTGTCCGTGAGGCCAAGGGCTGGCAGAGGGCTGAGGTGACCGCTGGCTCCCCAGGGCACACCCCCTCCTGAGTCAGTGAGGGCCCTAATGTCCTCAGCCACACTGAAGAATGGGATACATAACTGTCTCTAACAAGCAGAAACAAACAATACCACTTTGGTCATTTAACTGATTTAGACAAATCAACAGCATGGTTACCATTAAAATAAACTCAATTTACTCACCAGTGAGAGGGGAAATTGGAATTCTAGTATCCATTTGCTGGTGCTTAGAGTGCTTGCCTTTGAACTGAAGCCAATACAATAAATACAGGGTCCCAGTGTGACTAAGTTTGGCAGAGCTGCGTGCGGTGGGCTTCAGAACACACACGCAGAACAGAAACCCGTGCACGGAACGAGGCTGTGGAGACTTCCCTCCAGCATGGTGAAGCCAACTACAGGTTCTCCCCAGCAACTGTCCCTACCAACTGTAGGTGAGGCACAGAAGGCAAGAAATATGATTCTGGGGAGCTAGGGGCTCCCCACATCCCTCAAGAGAAGACCATTCAATAGGCTAAGAGTCAAAGTTACACATTGGGTCTTGTCCAAAAACCAACTGGAAACAATGACCCAGGCTGGTGCCAAGCTGGAAGGGACCCTGGGACTCTGGATCCTGTTAGTCTGCAGACTTATTACCCGTCTGCGTTCGTCATGACGGGTAATAAGTGCTTGTTCAAACTGACACATCTCCTGTGCTTTATTCATGGGCGTTAACTTCGGAGCTGAGAAATGGAGTTCTAAGGTGTGAGGACAGGTTCCTTCGGGGCAGCGGTTCTCAGGGGAGGACTTCCTGCCCAGAGAGATTGAGCGCCGTCTGGAGACATTTGGATTGTCATAACTAAGTAGTAAGAAGGGCACTGACATCTAGAATTTAGAAGCCAGGGATGTCATCACACACCCTGTTTTTCACAGGACAGTCCCACCACAAAAACAATCCCGCCACAAATGTCAACGGTGCTGACGTTGAGAACAGCGTTCTCGGAGACACTGAAGTTGACCTGCTTCATGCAGAGGGCCATTGGGAATCAGCACCGCTCATCGGGTCTTCCCCAGGCCAGCAGCTTCCTTAGGGCTCAGAGGGTTATCTCAGGAGGCAAAGTGTGAGCTCTCCTTCCCCAGGTTTTGGTTTCGTTTTGTTTGGTTTGGTTTTAAGCCTGGGTGTACTGGTTTTCTATGGCTCCTGTAACAAAACAGCACAAGCTGATGACAAAACCGTGGGAATTTGTTGCATCACCATTCACAGTTCTGTCAGCCAGCAGGCGGAGACCCAGAGGGACAGAGCCAGGCACCCTCTGAAGGCACTGGGGAAAGGTCTGCTCCAGGCCTCTCTCCTGCTTTCGGTGGTTACTTGGCATGTGGCAGCCTCACTCCAACCTCCACATGACACTTTCCCAGTGTGTGTGTCTCTGTCCACATTTCCCCTTTTAATAAGGACACCAGTCATACGGGACTGGGGCCCAGCTTTCTCCGGCAGGACCTCATCTTATGTGTTCAGACTGTCCAGACTGTTCTCTGTGTGTCCTCTTCTCCAAAGTTCTCTCCATCTTAACGAACGGCACCTGCAATGTCCCTATTTCTAAATAAGGTCACATTCAGAGCTGCTGGGGGTGAGGACTGCAGCATGTGCATTTGGTTTGGCAGTGGCGGGGCGGAGGGGGTTGACACAATTCAACCCACGACACTGGGGAATCAGAGATCCCATCACTTGTATTGAAACCTGCCCCACTTTTCTTTGTTCTGCATCTATCCTGAGAAAATGTGAAGGACCTCAGGCAGCGAGGGGTGCAGAGTGCTCAGAAAGGAGGTTCATATTCCTTCTCCTCCCCAGACTGAAGCTAGGGGGGCTTGTCCAGGAAACTGGGGATGGTGGTGGCCTCATCCTTTAAAACCAAGGCAGCTGCTCTTCAAAAGGCGAAGCAGCTTCTTCCTAAAGTGACTGTCCCCAGAACAGTGTTTGCATTTTGGTTTCAGGTTGCCAGATAAAGGTGAAGCGGCTGCCGCGGTCATATGCCGTCATAAAACTTAGAAAAAAGGGAAGCAGAAGACATAACTCTTTGCATAGAGAACAGCTGCAAATGCAGAGCTTTGCCTCTTTTTTTTCTTCTTTATTTGCATCTGTGATTTCTTATTTCTGTTTCACTTCTTCCCTGAATTTCTGAGCTTCCAATCTGGCTCTGGCGCACTTCATCTGGCAGCATGAGGACTGCCCCCCCAGTCAGGATCTGCCGCACTGTCAGAGGGAAGGAGGCCGCACCGCTGGAGAGACACTTGGCCCCTTGCCTGTGACCCAGTGGGCTAAGAGCATTCCTTCACCTGCTCATCTTTAGCAAAAGAGTCTGGGTTTGCAGAGGAAGCCTCTTATCTACCCAGACTTCGTACTCTCTGTGCCCTCTTCTCCAAAGTTCTCCCCATGTTTTCTAACT